GATATTCTTGATGTCATCCCACAACTCTTCCGGTCTTTGGTCTTTAGTGTCTAATTCATCAAATCTGTTCTTCAGATGATCTCTAAATTCAGGATCTCTAAATAAAACCAAATTTATTTCTCCTGAATTTAATTAGTATAGGGACTAGTTAACAACACCTTGCATAAAGTTTTTTCTTTTCTATACATTAATGACAACAACTTTCTTTGTGACATGCTTTTACTTCCTATAATATACTTGGAAAATAATCAACTTGTAACTGCAATCAAATTGTTACAAATTGTAACTGCAATGAACCCAGCTTTCCATAATTTCCCGTTATGTGCCACATCTCTATGAGAGTTAAGTGTCTCTTAAAATACATCAATGGATCATTGACTGCCAATTGCCAATGGATAGGATCCTGATAATAGATTTTCAGATTTACTCATGGAAACATTCAGGAAGCTTCTCATCTCCACATATTAGAATTAACCAACCGGGCTTTTTTTTTTTTTTTTAAATCCCTAGCTAAGGAAGAAGAATATACTACTATTCCATGTTATCTCCATGGGGTTAAAGAATGATGTTTAACTCTTGTGTTTGGTAATGTAGTTTAGTTGGGATAATGAACAGAGACGACTAGTTTTCATCATCTCTCTTATGGGTATTCAAAAGATGAATATAAGGATGGTGGCATTAGGTAAGTTCTTACAGCTGTGTTGTGTTAGGTGCCTTATACAGAGAAGATCTTGTCCGGTGCTGTGACATGCTTACAATCATTGTCATGTTTAAGCCCGCTGTGGCAGCCACTGTGTCATTCCATCTCACTGAGGGGCTCCCACTTGTTTGCTGATCTTCTGCTTTCCAAACATGATTTCTTTTCCAAGAAATTGATCTTGTCTAATGTCATGTCCAAAGTAAGTGAGATGAAGTCTTTTCTAAAAGGCATTCTGTCTGTATTTCTTCCAAGATAAATGTGTTTGTTCTTCTGGCATTCAATGGTATATTTAATATTATTTGCCAACACCACAATTTAATTATGTTCATTTTTCTTTCATTTCCCTTTTTCACCACCTTTTGTATCCATATAAGGTGATTAAAAATACCATGGCTTGAGTCACATTTACCTCAGTTATCAAAGTGACATCTTTGCTTTATAAGACCTTAGAGAGGTTTTTTTGCAGCAGACTTGCCCAATGTAATTTGTTGTTTGAGATCTTGACAGCTGATTCTATGGGCCTTGATTGCTGAACCATATAGAAGGAAATCCTTGACAATTTCAATTTCTTCATCTTATGATACCATCTATTAGTCCAATTATATATTTTTATTGTATATCGTGGCATATTCCACATTGAAGGCTGTAGTATTTTACTTTTAGCAGTTCTTCAAGTCATCTACACTTTTGGCAAACAAGGTTGTGTCACCTGTATATTTCAGGTTGTTAATAAATATTCCCTACAATTGTCTCACCATTTTCTTTTTCTTGTAGCCCAGCTTCTCAGATCATTTGTTCAGTTTATAGATTGGAAAAGTAAGGTGGAAAATATGTTCCTGTAGCATTTTAAACCATGCAGTATTCCCTTTTTCTGTTCATATGACTGCCTCTTAACCCATCCATATGAGTCCAACTAAGTGTTCTGGAATTCCAATTCTTCTCAATGTTATCCATAATTTGTTGTGACCTACACAAATGCCTCTGCATAGCTGATAAAACACAGTAAACATCTTTACGTTATTCTCTGCACTCAGCCAAGATCCATCTATCATCACAAATGGTATCTCTAGTTTTATGTCCTTTTTGAAATCTTACTTTAAAGTCTACCAGCATTTCCCTGTCAATGTACAGCTACACCCAGTTTTAAATTATCTGTAGCAATTTTGCTAGCATGTAATATTAAGGATCTTGTTTGACACCTTTTCCATTCAGTTTGATCACTGTTCCTGTGGAATGAGCAAAAAATATGAATCTTCCAGTTGATTGGCCACATTTGTTAACATCAATAAGTACTTTCAGCATTGCCTCTGTTTGTTGGAGTATCTCAATTGGTATTCCATAAATTCCTGGTGTCTTGTTTTTTCACCAATGCCTTCATGGCAGCTTGTATTTCTTTCTTCAGTACCAGTGGTTCTTGATCATATATTACCTTCTGAAATAGTTGAACACTGATCAGTTCTTTTTGGTACATTGACTCTGTGCATTCCTTCCATTTTCTTTTGATGCTTTCTGTAACACTGAATATTTTTGCCTATTGTTGTTAGATGCCATTGAGTCAGTTCTGACTCATAGTGAACCTATGCACAACAGAATGTAACACTGCCCAGTCCTGCACCACCCTCACAATTGTTGTTATATTTGAGCCCATTGTGCTGCCACTGCATCAATCCATCTAATTAGGGGTCTTCCCCTTTTTCTCTGACCCTCCACTTTACCAAGCATGATGTACTGCTCTAGGTACTGGTCCCTCTGACAACATGTCCAAAGTAAGAGAGACAAAATCTCACCATCTTCAATTCTAAGGAGCATTCTGGTTTTACTTCTTCAACAACTGATTTTTTTGTTCCCTGACAGGCCATGGTATTTTCCGCATTCTTTGTCAACACCATATGCCTATGTTGTTGTTGTTAAGTGTCATAAAGTCAGTTCTGACTCATAGGGGTCCTGTATAGGGTTTCCAAGGAGTGGTTGGTGGGTTTGATGCACTGGCTTTTTGGTTAGCAGTCCAGTGCTTATCCTGCAGTACCAGACCAGGATTCTATATACATATGGAGTCTTCCAATATTTCAACTTGAGGCTTGAATTTTCTTTTCAGTTCTTTCAGCTTGAGAAATGATTCGCATGTT